GGGGAGATAGCTCATGGGGCCAGGGAGATAGCTCAGTAGAGTAAGTGTTTGTTTGACAAGTTCAAGGTCCTGAGTTCAGTCACTGGTACCAAAAAAAAGTTGAAAATTGCATGCCTGAAATTTCTGAAATGATAGCAACTGAAGTAAAGAAACAACTGAATCAGGCTATAGAAGAATTGAGATCAGAAATAATCTGGGAGGTATAACAAGATATGACTACATTCATGAAAGAGTTGCTCAGCACTTCTAAAGAAGGCACAGGTGAAAAAATAGTTGACAATAGAAAAGTGATGGAAACATTGAAAGAATGAGAATGCATGAAATAGATTCAAACAGATATCCAGGACATTAAGAATTCCACTGAAATGTGGAAAATCCTTTGAATGAAACTGCAGTATACTATCAGACTTGAAGCATTGCACCTAGTGAATGTGAAAGAAAAGATCCCCTTAAAATAATGAACAAGGAAATAACACTTCAGCAACTACAAGATGATGCAAAGAAAAACAATATAATACTAATAGGTGTCAACAAAACAACAGAAGTCAGTAAAAATGACATAAGGATTATTTGCAGAAGTAACAGAAAATGTCCCAAGAATAGGGGAAGAACCAGATATACAGTAACTGAGGCATATAGAACTCCAATTATCCATAATCAAAGTAAATCTATACCTACACAAATAATAAGATCTCTCAGATTTAGCATATATAAAGAATATTAAAAACAGTTAGAGAATAGAACCAGATCATCTGTAACAGAAAGCCCATCAGAATCATGGCAGATTTTTAAACACAAATCATGAAATCAAGAAAGGCTTGGAGTGAAGTATTTCAGGTTCTGAAAGAAAACAATTTCCAACCCAGATTGATGTACCTTACAAATCTGTCTATCAAATTTATTGGAGAGTTAAAATACAAGAACAGCTGAAGAAATACATGACCAGCAGACCAACCCTACAAAGAGTACTGACAGATATTCTATAAAGAAACAGAAATGACTGCAACTTCAAAAACAACAACAGAAAGGAACCACCAAACAGATTAAGCAATTATACAGAAGAATATGAAACCTACTTTAGCAAAATAACATGACAAAGATAAGCCAATGCATATCAGTGCTAATCATCAATGTAAACAACCGTAATTCACTAATCAAAAGAAGCAGACTGCCAGAGTGGATCGAGAAACAAAATCCAACAATATGCTTATAAAGGGAACACATTTAACTCAAAAGAAAATTCATAGACTCAAATTCAAAGGATAGGAACCATACCCCATGTGACAGGAGCACAGAAAAAGGAAGAGGTAGCTATTCTGCTTGCTGACAATGTCAACTATGAGAAAAATTAAAAGAGATAGAGAAGATCATTACATATATATTAGGGGAAAATTGTGAAAGAGAAAAGAGACATAAACATATATGCACCACATATATGATCACCCAAAGATGTAAGACCTATTATAGCAGGCAAGAAAAATCAAATGAGCAATAATACACATGCAATTGGGAACTTTAAGACCCCATCATCACAAAGAAATATATATAAACTAGGCAACAACTCAGAAAAAAATATAAGAACTAAGCCAAACTTGTGAAGAAAAAGACATAGGAGACCTTCACTGAATGTTCCACCAAAGAATGTCAGAATATACATTCTTCTGAGATTCACAAGAGATGTTCTCCACAATAGACAATATACTAGCACATGGAGCATGCTTAAGTAAAGGCAAGAGAATTGATATTATCCGTGTACACTATCTAACCATAGTACAATGAAACTGGAATTTATTGACAAAAGAGACAAAAAGTTCCATAACCCCAGGAAAATAAAAAAACACACGCCTTAAAAAGCAATGGGTCACAGATGCAATTATGGGGAAAATTAAACAATGTTGACAATCAAAGGAAAATGCAATGCTGAACCCTGTGGGATACAATGAAACCCATCTTAAGAGCGAAATTTATAATGTTAAATTCTAACATAAGGCAAAGAGAACAAGGCCAAATAACAATCCTATGCCGCACCTCAGGCTTCTAGAAAAAGAAAATCACATCAAGCCCAAAGCCCAAAGAAGGCAGGAAATTATAAAGATCAGAGCACAAATAAACACAATGCATATGAAGGAAACAATGCAAAGAATTAATGAATCAAAGAGTTCATTCTATGAAAGAATAAATAAAATTGATGAATCCCTAGCCAACTGTTATCAAAAAAGGAAATAAAAAATCAAGTTTATCCAATAACAAATGAAAAGGACAAAGTCACTACACACCTTATAGAAATTCAGAATATCATCAACACTCACTTTAAAAATCTTTACTCTCACAGGATGAAAAGCACAAAAGAAATAGATTCTTAGATACATACGAATTACCAAAGCTAAATCAAAAAGATACAAAAATTTTGAATAACCTAATATCAGTCAATGAAATTGAAAATGTAAGAAAAAAACCTCTCAACAAAGAAAAACCCAGCTCCTGATGAGTTCATAGCTGAGGTCTACAAGAAATTTAGTGAATATTGGGACCAGCGAGATAGCTCCACAGACTAAGCTCTTGCTTACACAAGCACAGGGACCAGAGTTAAAGTCCCTGGTACCTCATGCCACACTAGCCCCACTCCTGGCACACTGAGCTGATGACCAATTCCAGGTGTGATGGTGCATGCCTGTTATCCCAGCGCTGAGGAGGCTGAAAACAGGAGGATAACTATAAGTCCAGATGCATAGTGAGACCCTATGGCAAATGCATTTAAAAAAAAATAAAAAAGCAATTTAGAAAAGATTTAATGTAAGCTCTTCTCAAATTCTTAAATGAAATTGAATGGGAAGCAATTTTTCAGAACTCATTCCTAGAGTCAAGCACTATTCTGATACCAAAATAAGAGAAAGACCAAATCAAAAAACAAAACTATAGGTCCATCTCCCTAATGAACCTAAATGCAAGAATCCTCAATAAAAGATGAACAAACAGAATGCAGTCAATCATCAAGAAAATTCTACATCATGAATAAGTGGGATACATTCCAGGATTGCAGAGATGGTTCAATATATTCAAATTCATAAAACGCCACATCAACAGAGCCAAAGATAAAAATCACATGATCCCCTCAATAGATGCAGAAAAATCTTTTGACAAAGTCCAACAGTCATTCATGATAAAAACCCTACAGAGAATTGGAATACATAGTTTTACCTTTTGCTTCAACCTGATGAAAGCCATCTATGAAAAGCCAACAGCTGATATCATTCTACATGGACAAAAACTTAAAGCCATCACTTTAAAATCAGAAGCAAGACAAAGAAGTCTACAGTCAAAACTCCTGTTCAATATAGTTCTGGAAACACTAACCAAGGTAATTAGGTGAGAAAGAAATGAAAGCAATAATGATTGGAATGGAAGAAGTGAAATTATAATTTACAGACAAAAAGATATTGTACATAGAAGACCCCAAAAATTCCATTAAGAAAATTGTAGATTTAATGACCAAATTCAGTAGAATAGTCAACACTCGAAAATCAGTAGTATTTCTATACACAAACACCAAGCACACTGAGAAAGAAATTATGGAAACCATGCCTTTCACAATAATACCAAAAGCAATGAAAGACTCAGGAATCAATGTCACAAAGGAAGTAAAAGATTTACACAGGGAAATTATAGTACTCTGACAAAAGAGATCAAAAAAAAAAAATTTCAGAAAATGGAAAGATATTCCTTGCTCCTGGATAGGAAAAAATCAACATTGTGAAAATGGCCATACTCTCAAAATTGTTATATAGATTCAACGCAATCTCAATTAAAATACCATTAGTATAATTCACAGAGCTAGAAAAAAAATTACTAAAATTCATCTGAAATCAGAAAATACCTAGAACATCAAAAGCCATCCTGGCTAACAAAGAAAGGGCACAACACATCACAATCCCAGACCTAAATTTACACAACAAAGCTACTGTGATAAAATCAGCATGGTAAATAAAAATAGACCTGAGGATCAATGGAAAAGATTAGAAGATGTAGACCTAACTACAAACATACTCAGCCACCTTATTAACCACAAAGGGGTGAAACGTGTTCATTGGAAGAAACATAGCCTCTTTAATAAATGGTGCTGGAAATACTGGCTTTTTACATGCCACTATTTTAAAATAGACCCATGTCTATCATCATGCACAAAATTACAATCAAAATGGATCACATATTTAAATATTAGAACTGAAACACTAAATCTTCTGGAAGAGAAAGTAGGTAGAAACCTTAAGAACATAGGGTAAGCAAAGAGTTCATGAATAAATATCAAACTGCATGGGAAATACTTCAAAGAATGAACAATTAGGATTTCATCTTTTTGAAAAGTTTCTCAACATAAAAAGAAACCAACAACAGAGCAAAAAGAAAACCCACAAACTGGGAAAAATTATAGCAGACTGTCCATCACACAAAGGACTCCTATCGAGAACATATAAGAAAATTTTAAAGTCAGGCCTCCACAATTCAAATATCCATCCCAAAGCGGGCATCTGGGATGAATATACACTTCACAAATGAAGAGATACAAATGGAAAATAAATATATGGAAAATGTGCAACATCATTGGTCATTCAAGAGACGCAAATTAAAACAAATCTAGATACCACCTTATGCCAGAAAGAATGGCTATCATCAAGAAGTCAACTAATAACAAATACTGGTGAGGCTGTGGGGATGAAAAAGCCCTTCTCCACTGTTGTGGGAGTGGAGGCTGCTGTAACTATTTTAAAAATCAGTTTGGAGATTCCTCAAGAAGCTAACATTGTAGGTCCCATTCCAACCAGCTATTCTCCTTCTAGGTATTTTTCCAAAAAGAATTGAAATTATCATACCACAGCGATATATGTGCACCCATGCTATGACAATTTGACATAGCTAAATCTTGGAAACAATGCAAATACCCATGAACTGAGGAACAGATAAAAAAAGATATGGCATTTTTACACAATAAATTATTTTTTCTTTGATATCAGGTCAAGTATAAAAGCCTTCATAGATATAAAGGTCAGCAGTAAAACCTTTTCGTCATTGAACAGAAATGATTAGCCTTTCACACACACACAGAGAGAGAGAGAGAGAGAGAGAGAGAGAGAGAGAGAGAGAGAGAGAGAGACATATTTCCAGTCTCATTCACCTATCAGAATGTTCTGTTACTCAGCATTATGAACATGCATGTGTGAATGTAGACACACACACACACACACACACACACACACACACACACACACAGGACATAGCCCTTTCTGTTTTAAATTATTTTAAAAATCTGCTTCCCAGAACTATAGAGATCACGCTTCAGGGATACTGGAAGGTCTTCTGATGCTCAGATTTTGGCTATTTTCATCATTGATCCACTTCACGAAGAGCAGATCTCAGAAAACACAATAAATTATTTTTCAGCTATAGAAAAGATAAATTTGAGGCTTTTGTGGATAAATGGATGAAGCTAAAGACTATGTTGGTAAGTGCAATAAATCAGATCCACATGTGCAAACATCACATTATCTTTCTAGTGTGAGAACTTGAAAGAATAACTAAAATTTATTTTTCCCATAATTTTATTGAGAAACAAATAGCAATGAGACAGTTTCAAACCAAATTGGTAGGACAGTTTCAATAATTAACACATTGCATACATTCTTCCTCGTGGTTAATTGCTGTACAAGATGCCTACATGATATTCTATTTACAAACACTATTAGCACAAATCCCTCTATTCATTAAGAGAATGTAACTATATAACATTCCTAAAATTTATTTGGAACCAAAGAATTTATTTTTATTTATTTATTTACTTATGTATTTATTTATTTATTTATTGCAGAACTGGGGATTGAACGCCAGCCCTTACACTTGCCAGGCAAGCAATTATTCTACTGAGCTATCTCCCCAGTCCCAGTAATTAGTATTGAAAAGGTACAATAAATACTGTGAAAGGGAAAGATTTTGTTCAATGGGAAGGAAAAACCAGGAAGAGAAGAGGACAAATGAAGGGGAAAAGATACTTTGGCATATATGCAGAACAGTTTGGATGATCATACTGTCGATTTCTCCTGGTCTTTTGAAAGAAGCTAATGTTTATTTTTTTTTCTTTTTACTCTGTTTTGTTTTTTCTTTAAAAGAATCTTTATCATTTACATCTGGTAACCTGAATGTGGGTAAATTTTAAAATTTGTCATCTGTGCTTAACTACTTTATAGCCACTAACCCACTCATGTCACTCTTATGTTTGCTTTTCTTTTTTTTCTTCCTCATTTTAAGACAGAGTCTATTGGGTCTACAGGGTCTCACTGTATTAATATGCTGAGCTGTAAAAGGCTCAAGTCAACAACTTCTGATATTGCCAGCCCTGCAGATAACCCACTACTATTCTGGACTACTGGACTATATTGGATTACATTGCTGAATTCAAACACCTACAATATTTGAATGGCAATGGAATACCCATCTCTCACAAAAGTAAACAAAAAAGGGGTTATAAGTGAAGGACCAATATATATATATATCAGTTAGGATAGATATATAGCTATTTTCCTTTAGTTCAATGAGAAGAAAGATTTGTACTAATAGTATTTAGACTAGATATCATATCTGCATCTTGTACTATGAATAACTACTATGAAGACAACAGTATGGAATGTATTAATTATTATAACTGTCCTACTAACCTGTTTTCAAACTGTCTTAATAATATTTCCTTCTCAATTAAAATCAGCATAAAAATAAATAAAAACTAAAATACGTTAAAAAAGAAAGTCGTTTTGATTATAAAATTAGCAAACAAAACTATGTACTGTTCAACAAATAGCATAATAACATAAGTAATGCTAGAAGAAAAACTGAATCTACCAACTAAGGCTAATGGTTTTTCAAAATATTACGCTTGAACAGCCCCATCCATGCAAAAAGCTTGAAAACACTATAGCTATATCTGTTCCTAAGGCAAGTATGCATTCATTTGAATGAATATGGCTAATGTATGCTATATACATATGTAGAAAATATTTGATTAGTGACACATTTAGGAGAATTATTAAGTGTTCCACTAAATTTTCTCCAGGTATTGTAAAAATTTTCTGTATAATTCTTAAATGTCTTTTGAGATCAGAGGGGATTAGGAAATCATTGATCCAAGTCTGAGACTGGCTTTGATATGGGAAATGAACTGCAAATACCTCTCCATCCTAGCTAAAGACAGCCTACTGCTCTGTGGATTTTAGCATCACCCCAGAACAACCTTAGTGGGGTGCTTTCCAAGACCATATTTTTTTTATTTTCCAATTCTATATCCAGACCACTGCATCACTACTGTGCATGGCTGGCACCATTCTATCTCCTAGCACATAGGGTTCTTAAGAATCTTTTTTTTCCCATAGTTTTATTGAGAAACAAATAGCAATGAGACAGTTTCAAATCAAATCGGTAGGACAGTTTCAACAATTAACAAATTGCATACATTCTTCCTAGTGGTTAATTGCTGTACAAGATGCAGACATGATATCCTATTTACAAGCACCATTAGAACAAATCCTTCTATTCATTAAGAAAATGTAACTATATTATCTATTCTAACCGCATTGAATACACAGGTACAAAATGGATATTCATCTGTATCCTCGTTTTTTGTTAAGTTCTGTTATTTGAATATTACATATGTGTAAACTTAGTAAAATATTCTAAAAGAGTCCAGTAGCCCATAATAGTATTGAATCTTCCGATTGACTGGCAATGTCAGAAATTGTTAACCTGAGTCCCCCACAGCTCAACATAACAGCATGGCTTTACTTCTTATACTTCATTTTTATACTTTTATGCATAGTATCATCTCTTTGCAGTGTTATTGGTATCCCGTGATAAGCCATATGCTATTGGGAATACAAATCTTATATCAGGATCAAAACCTGCTTATCCATGACTATACATGTATCCTTAGGGAACATAAGATTCAACATGAAAATTCATTTGGAGAGGTCATTGATGTCCAGAGAGGTTACATAATCTACTCATTCTTCCTATGGTTTATGTCTAGATGTTCCCCCAAAGCCTCATGTAGTCATGGGGTGGACTTATAGAATTTGGCATAAGGCCTTTCCAGTGCAGAATTTATCAGATTTCTTTAGATGCTCCACATGGAACTACAGGACTTAATGTTTGCCCTGCTGTATTTTAGACTTGCTTTGAGCCCAATTCTTTCTATCTCCTTGTTTGTACCTTTTGGAACAGTAATGTTTTTCTTGTGCCTTTGAATGTTGGAAGTGTTTAACTTTTTATTTTTATAGGGGATCACAGCTAAGAGTTTGCCTTTGATTTTGGAGGAGACTTGGGACTGGGAATTTTCAGCAGTGCCAAAACTTATAGGACTCTGTCAACTCTTAGAGGGACTAAGCCTTTTGTCTAAAGGGATGTACATGAGTCTTTGGGGGACTAGGAGTGGAATGTTACGGTTTGTGTCTAGATATCCTCCCAAAGCCTCATGCAGTCTTGGGGGGTTCTTCTAGAGTTTCTGATTGATTCATGATCCAGTGCTCAGATTATGGTATGAGTGCTACACCCACCCTGGCGTGGATACCCTGAGTGTAATATAAAGGAGGGAAAGAGGCTTGTTCTCTGCCACTGCTCCTTCCTTTGCTTTTTCTGTTTTGCTGTTTTCTGCCTACACGAACTGCTGCCCTCTGCCATGTGCCACTCTGCCTTGCAGCCAGATAATTATGGACTGAAACCTCCACAAACCTTGAGCTAAATAAATAAACCTTTCCTTCCTTAATTTTGGGTATCAGTTATTTTGCCCCAGCAATGAGAGAAAAGTCAAGAAAACATGCTTCTATCGATAATCAGGTACACAGATGGTATCAGAAAGTCAGTCTCTTTTCTGACAGTGAATTAAGCATTTTGTAGATGCATTCTGAGCCTTTTTTTGAGAAAGTTCAATTATAGGTCTCCCAGAAGCAGAGCAGTTAACAAAAGGTACATCGATATATCACACAAATATAAAAACTCTTTAAAATAAGATAAATTATGATTTGAGTTTTACTTTTTAAGTATTTGTATCTTTATACTTCTGGTATGTTTCTTGTAAAAAGAAAAAGTTGGTATTTTTAGTTGAAACTGACAATTTATGCTTTTCAATTAGGATACTGAGATTATTCACATTTAATGTGACTTTTATATGGATAGATTGCATCCTCTTGTTTTCTATTTGCCTCATCCTTTCTTTTCTCCTGAAAGTAATGATGAGTACACTCTTCTGTAGGGTTTTATTAGATATGTTATACCATTATATTATTTGTTTTTTAAATTTATTCTGATTTTTTGTTTTGGTTTTGGGTTTGGGGTTTTTTGTTTTGTTTTGTTTTGTTTTTTGCGAAACTGGGGATTGAACTGATACCCTTGTGCTTGTCAGGCAAGCGATTATTCTACTAACGTATCTCCCCAAGCCCCTGATTTTATTTTGAAGGGTAAAACACAGATTTTCAAATAGTAATAGCTAATTAACAGTTGTTATACTATCTATTTTTATGATGAAATCTGTTGCTCAGATTAACAGACATAGTTATTGAATATTGGACAAATAATTTAATATTAAAGCTTGATTTCAATAAGCTTCAATTTTTTTCTTGCTTTTTTTTTCAGAACCGAGGATTGAACTCAGATCCTTGAGTTTGCCAATCAAGCGCTTATCCTACTGAGCCATCTCCCCAGCCCCTTTTTTTACTTTTTTAAAAATGTATTTTTTATTAATTTTATTGAGAAAAAATTGCAATGAGACTGTTTCAAAACAGGTTGGTAGGAGAGTTACAACAATTAATGCATTGCATATTGTTGTCTTTGTACTAGTCATTCATAGCTCAAGATGCAGACATGATATCTTGTCCAAATACTATTAGTACAAATCTTTCTTCTTATTGAATTAAGAGGAAGTGGCTATATATCTATCCTAACAATTTTGTACATATAGATTCAGAATTGTCCTTCATTTATATCTCCTTTTTATGCTTAGTTTTGTCAGAGATGGGTATTCCATTGCCATCCAAATTCTAGGTGCATAAAATCAGCAAAATATTCCATTATAGTCCAGTAGTCCACAATAGCAGTGAGTTATCCACAGGACTGACAATGTGGGAATCTGTTCACTTGAGCCTTCCACAGCTCTGCATATTAACATGGCTTCACTTTTCATACCTTGTTTCTACACTTTTCTGCTGGATGGATAAAACCAAGATAAAGCAAGACCTATATAACAATAAATGTATCTTTTGTATCTGACAAGGTCAGTCAAGTCCCCTCAGGGTTTATCCCAAAATCCTGTACCACACTTTGCAGACCCTTTGTCAGTGTCAGCCATGTGGATGAGT